AAGGTGCCAACCAATTTTCAATTTTCAGCTTCAAACCAAATAAGCCTTTTGGATAAATACATGCAATTTTTTTCATGACAGTTAGCATGCATTTGCCGCTGCATTGACTTAATTACCCGTTAACTGTATATTCAACATGTTGTATTACAAGTAACTTCTTCCAGCAATAGAGACATGTAATTTGATTTCGGTCTCACCTGTAAGATTGTGTGTATTTACCACATCTGATGTTGTATGTGTATGACAAAGTGTGAATAAATATAGACAGGTACTTTTATTGTATTTTGTATACAAAATATCTTAGTTTCCTGAGCTAGTTTTTCAATTATGAAATATAACAATTCTGAATTTAGACTTGACACAGAGAAAATCGCAGTCATTATTTCCATTTAAACAAGTTAGAGTACCCCGAATTTATTAATTATTGGATGCAACCTATTTGATGTAAAAAAAATAAAAAAAATGCCACATGCTTATGGCTGTGATCTACAAAATATAAACGGTAATGGTGAACTGTAATGAATTAGCTTAATGCGAATAAAACAACAATGACAAATAAATCCATCGTGCAATGAGAGAGCTAAAGGATAATCTAAAACCACTGGCACAAGCTCTCAGTTATAAAACATGTATCACAGTCACTCTACTAGGAGAGTGACTGTGCATGAATCAAATACAATTTGGTAAACAAGAACAATACAAACATACTAATGAATAGTCGATAGTAACAAGGAGTCACTGAACTATCTTACAAGAGTTTGTAATGAAAAATATCTTCTGTGCATTTCAGTGGTCTTTGGTGATCATCAAATTTTGTAAGTACTAGTCACAGAATCTGACAGCTGATTATCGAACTATACACAGAGTCTGATGGCTGATTATCAATACTAGTTCAGCATTGGCAGTATCATTAAAGGAATACATTATGTCATTGTGTGCAGTTTGATTGGAGTCATCGTGTGGTTATACTGGATATTTTCACTCCTGGTGCCCTCCTGGTATTCTTCTTCAAAGTTGTTGATCTTAAGTGATGTAGTTTGAGTATTGCTCGAGAACTGATGACTAGGTACCTTAATTGCACTCAACTTTGTATGAAGTAGTGATTAGATGTGAACCTGAGAATTTCTTGATAAAGTACTATTCTCCTTCAATGTGGCCTAATGGAATCTACTGTGTATATGTGTGACTTTTTGCCATCTCAACATCTCGTATTGGAGGATGAAGTCTGAATGGATGGTTGGTATTATGCTGTTTGAGTTGTTTATTTATGAGTTCACATCCATTGAGTAGAGTCTGCCTGTTAGTGAAACGTTGTGTCCCTATTTTGCATGTGGAATGACCGCAACAACGTATGCAAAATTGAGCGTGCAGTGGTAATGACCAGACTAACCCAGTATAATTGCGTACTGATGCAAAGAGTCTTCTTCAAGTTCAAGTTCAACTAGTGAGTTTTTATTTTATTTGCTTCTTTATGTGAACAATCTCAATATTGATGCGAAGTTGTTGTTGTAGTAGTAAATGGAAGAATGTTTTGCAACTGACAATGTCTTGAATGGAATATGATCGTACAACAGTATGTTCAGTTTGTTCAATGATTTGGCAGTGGCTCAGATTAAAGTTGTTTACAGCTAGTGAAATCTGGTGGTAGATTTGTTCAACCAGTGAGGTGGCAATCTGCAACTTGATATTTACTAAAGCAAGTGCTAGCTGAAGAACTCTTCCTCGATAGAGCTTGGCGATGCAATTTTACATGGTAATCATGCAATTTGATGTTTGTGAAAAATCCTACTAATGTTGTCTTATGAGTTGTGCTGATGGCATGTCAGGTAACAGAGCCATCAGTTCCAATCCCCAGAGGTGGCCTAATGGGCAAAAGAGTATAATGGTGTTATACTTGAAAAGTAGTGCTTGGGCTAACTTGACGAAAGTAACAAACCATTGAAGTTTGTATTATGACATCAATCTAGAAGTTGCTAAATCAAGTGTGACTAGTATTGCAGCACAATAGTGTCTGACAACACAACCCAATAATTCATAAGCATTAATAAACTATTTTAGACCTCAAACAGTGTTAGGAGTTGCACATGTCGTCGGAGTTGCATTGAAGGTTTGTAACAAGTTGTCCTTCAAATCCATTTTAGAATTGAGGTTGCAATAGGGCAGATTGTTCTGGGTGCTGGAGAATGGATGTTACATTTGCTCAATGCTTAGGGAAGCTTTTTCCAACTCTGGTAGAAGCTCTGTTGGGGTGTATAAACTATAAATAGTATAAACTATGTTTTGTGACACATCCCTCTTGAATGTAGTCATCTAAGTCGTGGCACACCATCCGTTCTAGAGCACTTTCAGACCCAGACATGACCATCACCATTCTATGCAGACAGAGACTGTGAAAATACCATTTCATTTGAATGTATGATTTGGTTTTCGAAAAGTAATGATTGATTGATTGATTCATTAAGATACTCAACTGCAACTCCTACATCCTCTGGTAGATGAAATACTCCCAATTATTCGATATCATCAAACTTGCGTGTATCTTGTGACAAGCCTATCACAAGTGAACTCAAGCTTGCCAAGAGCATAACATTGATAGGTCAAAATCATTGTCATATGGGTTCATGAGTTTAAGAACCTAATAATGCTGTCTCAATGTTTTATAGTTGTATCATGTGGTTAGCGACTACCAACCTTGTCTGTAATGGGTTATTGTGAATTTGACAGAAGTGGTACAATTTGTGGCCATGTTTGTGATGATGTTGGTCATAGTGAGGTTCAATTGCGAATATGCCATTCCCATTCCTGACGATTTTGAGATGTGCCAGCTACTCTATAATATATGATATCTGTCAGTAATTTGTTGCATTTAAGGCTAAACAGCAATATCATTGATTGTCATGAATAGTGACCTAACTCATTAACGTCTAGTTCTTAAACAAAAGTTTAAAGGCTGGTGGTCGTCATGCAACATTCGTGATATATAAACAAAGATAACGACTTTGACTGTTATTCAGTTGATCAGGGTCATCGCTGTTAGTTTCGTTGAGTGGGGTCATGTTCATCTCTGCTATCCTGGTCTTCCTCATAGCAACCATTTTGATGAATTTTGGTGAGGTATAATCGTTCTTCATTGGGTAATAGTTTGCAGGTGCTCAGACAATTTTGTTATTTAGGGCAGTCTTACGTTTCGCTTGACAGATGTTGGTGACACTGCCTTTGTGTCATGGGAACTTAGCTGTTGCTTGGCAACTAATCTTAGATTGAATGAAGGGTAAACTATTGCTGAGTTCCTCATCAATGGTTGTTGTTTCCCCTTGTTGTTTAATATTGGTCACCCATCATAACAGACATCTTCCATGACTATGACGACTGTGTGTCCATGCGTTCGGACCTGTATCTTAGATATGCCTGGACTGATTACATTTAAACTTCACACATACATCATACATAATATTATGCATAAGTTCATCAATTTCAAAATTTTGTACTGAAAAGCATTTCGCAGCTGTTTACAGATGGATTTTGTTCAAACTTATTACATACATTGGACATTACGGGGCCTTGACGCACGTCATTTTGTTCTTCAGATAAGATTCAAAATGAGCGACTTGCAAACATTTTGTTTTTAATGAATGTGGCACTTGTGCCATATCTCTGACATGTTTTGACTGATTATGTTCAAATTGTAAATAATCATTGTGCATCCTCTACAGAATTATTGGTTTGGCAAAATGGCTGAATGGTGGCCGTTTTTGTGCTAAAAAGTCATAAAAAATCAAGCATTCCTGGCATTTTGGAACTGGATCTCGGTCGTTTATTGATGAATTTCATTCAAACTTGGTACATACATTAGACATTATAGGTGCCTGAAGCACGTCATTTTGTTTTTCAGATTGGATTCAAAATGGCTGACAGGTAGCCATTTTTCATGAATGCGATTCCAGAGCCATATCTCTGAAAAAGCTATAACTTTTACATATTCATTATGCACCATGTCATAGATATACAGATGTATTGGTTTGAGATCTGATTCAAATGGCCATTTTGTTTCAATTAATGCTGTTCCAGGGCAATACCTCTCAATATGAACAAGTACTTGTACTATATATAGTACTAGAATTTGATAACTAACGGGGACTGTGCCATGCATGGCTTGTTCTACTTTAATATTAGTCCAAAAACCTGATGTTTTGAAACCATAATGAATTCATAATGCTTTCAAAATGAATGTAGAAGCCTTGATAATAGTATTACGAGAAGTGACGGGCAACAATTTGACCCAGTGTCAATTCGAGGTGCATCACTTTTTTCCATAAAACCCTGTGTAGTATTGGATGTCTTGATCCATGTTGAATTTTCAATGAAAAATGTAGAGAACCTAATGAGGACTTAATGGCAACATTTATTGTAGGTTATGGTGTCATGCCTCAAAGGATGTATTTGATTTATGTTTGGTTAGACTAATATGTCAGGACGTACAACATACTACTTTAAAGTGGGCTTCTTACCTTTCAATGTACAAACTAAAGAAGTGTATGAACTATATACAGGTTCTCAGTGTTCCCACTTCTCCATTGAATCACTCTTGTCCCACTGCATATGACTTCAAGAATATCATTCACCAGCTTACAGATAAAATTGATAATAGATAACATATGTTATCTGTTGGTTGTGATTATGACACAATTGGCCAGAATAAGAAAACTCTGGATACTCGAGTCTACTTCTAGTGCAACCAGGGTCCAAGCCAATCTGCCTTTAGTTAAGCCAAATCATGTGTATATGCACAATAAACAAGACCGACGTTCAGTAACTTCATATTTTCTATACATATGTAAAAGTTGACACAACACCACCTTGTCCATTTATATGTGAATATTGTTCAAAGGATTTTTGATGATAACAAATAAATAGATCACATGAAGAATTGTATATATTGGTAAACTTATAACTTTGCCGTTGAGCATATATTCACACGAGTTAGAATGTATGTATGAATGTAAACTGTTGTGACCATTATCTTCGAGTACATTATATAATAAAGAATAAAATAATCTACAGAAACACAAATATTTTGTATACTGTACACTCTGTCAGTTGCTCATGATCAATTCAATGCGTACCATGGTACATTAAAAAGACTTGCAACCTCCTTCGAAACCTGCATTCGATCAGAACATAAAATATACATTTGGTCGAAAACCATGATACAAAATGTTTATGATTATTCATGTATCCTGTAATTTCACACATGATGATGATGATAAAATAAGGTCAGCGACTTTGTTATAGAGAAAAGCACTGTGTTGCCTACCTTATGTCATCATTCCAAACACTGGATGCAGTACGTAATGTTTGTAGCGTTTGTTCTCCAAGCCACAGGATTGCTGGATTGCAGGTTTGTTTGTGCATTACAAGTGTGTGGAATTGGTAACGCTACTTAAAACGGCTTAACTAGAAAATAATTTGTTTTTAATGGAATTTTCTTTTGAAAAAAAACCCACACAAGGGCAATTAGTTAATATGAACACCAGGCCAATTAGTTAATATGAACAAAACACTCTATAGCCTTAGTAGAAATTATTCTTCTAGTGTCCTACTATGAGTTCTGAACAACTCTACGAAACTACAAAATAATACCACCGAATATTCTACTCCATAATAAATATGATGCGTTGCAGCTAAATTCGTTGAATACGACAAATGCCATCATATAAAGTTAAGTAACTGAGGACATTTGTGTTATTCTAAAACGTGATCTTCCATTAACACTTATTTATGTAAAAAATACTGCGATTTGTTGTGTTTTTGTACAATACATATAACACAATAGTCATTTTTTCTAAAAACATTCTGAATAATAATATGACTCCAATTGAGCTTTTCCATAAAATGGAATACTCTATTATGCATATTACACTTGAAATAATGTTGTAAAACACAAACAAACATACAATGACTAAAATATTAATTAGTAAATCAGTAAATAAACAATATGGCTTAAACTCTTATAAGCACATTATTGAATAATCGTCATAGAAAAATTCACGATCGGTTATCTACTTTCGGAATCATGTGTGCCCTACATGTTCAGCTAAAATGGCTTTATGCGTTTTGCAAACAATACGTCATAGATTGGCTTTGATTCCTCTAATGCAGAGATGTATTTTTCTGGTATTACAGACAAATCAATCGGAGTGTCTTTGGTAGGTAGTGGATGGAAACTGGTACTTTCAAGTGCACTGCCAAACCAAATATTGCATTCTTTGCGATATTTCAAGAATGGATCCCAATCACCGATGTTTTGCGATTTCCATCTCAGCATATCGTCGCTGAATGTTACACCAATCTTTTGACAGAACTGTTTCAGTACTATCTCAGGGAAATGAGACAGATCGTGAGCGTCAATAATTATACAAGGTTGGTTTTGTTTAGCGAAATAATCGTACAAATCTAATACTGGTTTGATGCTACCGTATGAGTATCTACGTGGAAATGATGTTCGTCCTGTATTTATTGTTGCTCTCCAGAAACTTGAAATACTTTGTGTTGGTTCACGAATCAAAAACGTATGGGTGTATCCTTCCGGGATTTTGTCGTATCTCCCAACTATAAAATCAGCCATATCTTTAAACACAATCAACGTACTGCCAGGGTAGTCGGACTCTAACATGGTTTTTACTTCCTTGTAACGACTATTGACATATGTTGGATTATCTTCCAAGCAATGTTTCCATTCTTCTATGAATGGAACTGCATAAGGTTCCATAAACGTTTTAATATTTTCACGACCTGCAAAACATTGTAGAAGAGCTGTTGATGTAGTTCTTTGGTGTGTCCATATTGCAACACGACGTGTGGGATGTGACGTCATTGCTACCTGTCCAGAGAAAATATAATAATTTTCATATGTCATATGTGGTTAAAAAATAAGTATACACACGAGCAGTATGTTGACTGTGACATCTTAGGCTGAGTAGAGTTTTGTAGTGTGTGCTCACAGTGATCAAGCCAATTTTAGGTTTAGTATGGTGAGTAACAATGTGTGTTCATATATGTTAATTAATTAATGCACAAGCACGCCTAATTTGACGTCATTTTGTATATATGTTTAGCGCATTTTTGTAATTTTGAAGTATCAGTCAATATAACTGTCACTGTACACCATGTGCTGCAATTTAAAACCAAAGCAACTGCATGCAAGGTTTTGAGTGATTTCAAGATATACTAATTACATACATTTTCATTAATCTTATATATTTGATATCATTATAAAAAAATTAAATGCTGGTTAAAGGCCAAATCAATTTGGGTGCATTTTAGAATTCTTTGGCTGGTTGCTCAGACCCGGCGCTGATACCCGAAAGCTAAAGTCTAATTGAACAACTGTGGTGTTCAGAGCCAATGTGTTGTTTATCTTTGCCTTGGATTGTTCAAGCAAACTGAGATCGACATGATAACTGGAAGCTAGGTCATGGCTTGCTGTAACTGAATGGAGCGGAGGGTGCGTTTTTTTAATGAGTAAAGTGAATAAAATTAAAAAAATATGAAATAAGTAAAAACAATCTGCTGTCTTCAGTATAATTTGTGCAGTGAGCTGAACATAAATAACGCCTTTTCTCGATGTTCACTTGTAAAACGCATAGTGCAGCCACTTTAGTATGGATATATATTTGGTACGGATATTATTGACATATATATATATCAGTACATATATCGTTTGGAAAAGCATACTAATTATTGTTATGGTCATTTAGATAACATTACGCCATTTCACCGATGTCCATGATCATGCCAGGGATTAGATGAATTTCAAACAAGAAATGTTTCAGACTTACCGAGTTCCCATTTGAAACACCGACAATGCCTACCCATCAAGATTATATAGGGGTCAGCTGATAATGCTAACGTGAACGTTGAACTATTGGACCTGGCACAGCGATTGATATGACACTCATGAATAGGTGATTTTCCGTATAATTGCGAGATCTCGCGAGATGCATGAAAGACGCGCGTCGAACGTCTGCCGCAAAAATCGAACGATTTGATTTTGAACTAGAATTTCTTTATTTCGTAGCTTACATTGACCGGCCGATCTTCGACAGAGGAATATTGCTTTCGAATACCCTTACTTAATCGAAATTGCCTATCATCAAATGTGGACAGCACATTATTAAGCATGGAAATGTCCCCGAAATACTTTCGCGTTTGTCGAATCCCACGCGATGTTTGACGCGACTACGACGCTATGACCTTTGTTTGTCCTGTTTTTACGTTCGATTTCACGCATAACGCGCGATTCTCGCAGTGAACGGAAAATGGTCTATTTGTCCTTGATGACAATTATAAGTATAGCCTACAAAGCGAGTCTAAAATTTACCAGACACATTTACCATGGAAGGACACGAATAAAGAACTCGCCTTCTGTCTCTGGCTGACTCATACGCCTGACATTATTAATAGAAGAGCTAGGTATACTTGAACTTGTAACAGTCCGTGCTGTTCGCCTGAAGGTGAAGGTGAAGGTGAAGGTGACACGACACAATCAACTGGATAAAACACAACTATCAACGCATCACTGTAATCACATCCACTGGATATATGAGGTTGAGTTACAATAAAATAATGATGACAGTGAAAATGGTTTAAACTGTAAAAAAGGCTGAACAGCAATATCATTGTCCTGAATGGTGACCTAAAACATTAACATCTAGTTCTTAAATAAATGCATCAAGTTTAAAGGATGGTGGTCGTCATGCAACATGCACTATATATAAACAAAGATAACGACTTTGACTGTTTAGATAATTATTTTGTGATTGGGAGGTATCAAGGAATCTCTGCCGGTAATTAGTGCAGGTGGGACTGATGTCAAAACTCAGCGAATTGGATTGCAGAAAAAAAACACGAATTTCAACACAAATGTTGCACATACGTGAAGACCACCGCCCTTTAAGGTCAAGATAATTTCTGGCCAATGTGATATGGGCTTCACCAATGGCACGTAGTCGTTTTACACCATCTGCCAACATACCTAGCAACTGATGCTTTACTTAGGTTCTCATAAAAAAGTCTTTAAAGAAAGGTGACTGTTGACTCTACATGTGTGAGCTGTAGTTGGGTTGTGTGGGGGTCCTGTTCCTGTCCTGATCCTCCTCATCACAACTAGTTTGACGAGTTTTTGTGAGGTATAATCGGTCTGCATTGGATAAGAATTTGCAGGTGCTCAGGAAAAGTTGGTATTTAGGACAATGTTGCTCACACTGCCTTTGTAACTAAAATGCTGCTTGGCAACTGATCGCAGAACTTTGTAAAGAATGAAAAGTAAACTACTTTCATAACTGAGTCTTCATCAGTGTTGTTGTTTCTCCATAATGTTTATGAATAAATATAGGCAGGCGTTTGTCCTACTTTAATATTATTAAGAACCTGAAGTTTTGAAACCATTATGCAATCCTTATGCTTATGCGTATTACAAAAAATGTATGGCAAGAATTTCGAGGTCAATTTTGTTTGACCGTGTATTGTTTCGATATAGCTACTCTGAATCTTGAAATTGTGTAGTTTTGGATGTCTTGATTCATAATAAACTTTCAAAATGTGGAGGAATTAGGACCTAATGACAAAATGTATTGTATATTCTGCTGTCATGCCTCAAATGATGTATTTGATTTATGTTTGGTTAGACTAATATGGCAGGACGTACATCATACTACTTTAAAGTGGACTTCTTACCTTTCAATGTACGAACTTAAGAAGTGTATCAACTATACAGGTTCTCAGTGTTTCCACTTCTCCATTGAATCACTCTTGTCCCACTGCATATGACTTCAAGAATATCATTCACCAGCTTACAGATAAAATCGATAATAGATAACATCTGATAATCACACGAGTTTGAATGTATGTATTATTGTAATCGTTGTTGTTGTGGCAACTATCCTCTAAATGCACGAGGCAGTACACTGTATAATGAGATATATTGTATACTGAACGCTCTGTAAGTTGCGCATTATCAATTCAATGCATACCATGGTACATAGTAATAACTTATTGCATGTAGCCTCCATCGAAATCTGCTTTGGCGCAGATGTCAGAGATGAATGCTTTCTTGGCCATATTTTCATATAGTTAATAGTTAAGTCAGCAACAAGGTTCAGCCTATGTTTCGACCCCATTCCATTGAGGGAAAGTGAATAGCAATTATTGGTGTCAATGATTGATCTCACTCGTAAAATGGAAAATCTGACGCCATCACTGCCTACCAGATTTATTCTTGGATTATCTCAACTAGAAATCATCATTCTCAAGTATATTCCTCACTTGCTTTGATTCCTGTCACCTACACGTATTGTTTGCTGCTTTGTACTATGTGAGGCAGATTTTATTTGGTTTTAAAATATCCAGTTTAGAAGCATCTGATTCCATCAGCAGCAAAGGAAGCTCATTTGGGGTTCATGAACATTCCATCTCCACCGCCTACAATTTATCATCGGCTAGCTTCAGGTAATCACATTCATCCATGGTAATGTTACTAGAAAAGCATTTTGCATTCTTGGAATTTTATTGAGTAGCGACCTGGAATGTATTATTGTGAACCTTATGAATGGGCTCACACACCTTTCATTAAACTACAGCCTGGATTATTCTAATGTGTTTAATATTGTTCTTCGGCGACTCGGTTATCTTGCTAGAGTGTTCAGCCATTCACTGTAGTTTTCTGTCCTGCACACAGGTATAAGCCACTATAAATTGTCATTTCTTGAATCAAGCCAGAGTTAATAAATTGGAGTGTCACAACAGGAGGAGTGATCGATGCTTAAAACGCAATGGTATTTCCAGTTCACTCATCCCGTCTTGTTGGAATGTGTTTATATATTTGTGGGGTACACACTTCCGCGCTCCCATGACATAAACCGGAACCTAGATTAAACTAACATTCAGCCGACCACAGTGTCTTTGCCTATCACATTTTTATTTTTAATTACACATTTATATACTTTTGTACACATATTTATATATTCAGTGAGAGCCATGACATTGTACATGCAATCTTATGTGATTGTCCAGAAGCTAACTCAGGTGAAAAAAAACTTGGATAAACTTCGCATCACCAAAGGACGTGAAACCCATCCAGGTATGACACTTTCAACTCCAGTTTCGAAATGTTTTTCACTCACTACACTGCATAAATGCACATAACAATGTTCGGTCACTACTTCTCTGCATAACTACACTGAATAAATGCACGTAACAGTGTTCGGTCACTACTTCTCTGCAGGAGAGGTCCAACAACTTCTACACATTCTGCTATGTACAAACTATCGCAATAGTTTATGCTATTTAACGAATAAACCTCATATTTTCAATTTAAATGCTCATATTTTAAGCTCAAGTACTCAAATTTTAATATAAATTTAAATGTTTCTAATTTGAACTATAATATTTTAAAATCCGTTTTTTCATAATTAAATTTAACTGGACATTTTTATATTGTCATATCTTAATGCATCGAAATGACACATAACAAACATTCCTGTAGCTCTAGCTTATGGTGTATACAACTGTTAAGATACTGTAGTAGAACATCTAGGTCATATGAACGATTTTCGAGTAAAACATATCTTACTAGCTGCAAAGCTAGTTAAACAAAGAGAAATATTCGAGAAATATACTGGTTAAGGCTTTCAAAGCGTTTTATGGAAGACATTAGCAGATAATTATCAAATATGATTTGTCTGTCAAACAAATGATGCAAGATAGCATTCTTAATTACGACTCTATACAGATCGCTTATGACTTGTCAGGACGATTACATCACTTGTCATGCAATACAAGTTCAGACCAATCATGGTGGATGCGACTAGACAGCAC